GACAAACCAATCAAACCAATGTAGAATTAAAGCGTTTCTGGGCTTTGATGAGCATGGGTCTCGATGAACTGGACAAGAGTAGTTAATTGACTTATCTAGAAACTAAAAGATTACAGAAGACATTAAAAGACACATTTAACAGAAGCTGACTCTGTGTGTGTGTGTGTGTGTGTGTGTGTGTGTGTGTGTGTATCATGCTGGAATATACACAATGATCCCTAGGTAGTGAGGGAGCATTAGGGCCATGTACTGTAGCAGCCAGAAGCCTGGGGAGAGAGGACATGGGACTTCCCACCACAGACTTACATGACTGAGAACTCCAAAATCAGCCATTGTGGCTGTGTTTTTTAACAACCTCCAAAATCCTCTGTAGTGAGATTTGAAGAAATCTCATCCCAGGCAGACCCATCCAAACCTCTGTACATAGAGACAACCAAATACCAGAATGTTTCTGGCAGCTTAAGGCTATGTTCTTGCATGATCCCAGTACCACCACAGTGCCTACTTGGGAAGCCCAAGGCTACCAGGAGGAAAACCTGGGGTTGATCAGACTGTCCCAAACAGCTACTGTAGAAAGCTTACATTTACCCATCCTTTTGCTGGCCTTTGAGATACAAATGTCTTAACCAAAACAGTTTCCTTGAGGACCTGAGAGCATCTCTTTCTGTAATTTTTTAGAACTTCCTTGACATATAAACATTTGAAGAGATAACCCTTGTTTCCTCTGTCATTCCTTGTGGCAGACAAAAAGCCCTAACTTCGTAAGGGCCTACCTTCAGCTCACAACTCCCCATCCTGTCATGAGGAGTAATGTGTTTCTCCTGCAGGTGAGTGTGGACCAACAATGTCCTTGTGGCAGACTAAAAGCCCTAACTTTCGTAAGGGCCTACCTTCAGCTCACAACTCCCCACCCTGTCATGAGGAGTAATGTGTTTCTCCTGCAGGTGAGTGTGGACCAACAATTCGGTGTCTGGCTACACAGTCTCATCCCTCACATCACATCATTTCTCTGAACACATCCCAGCACTGAAACTACTGCTGTCAGAGATCTGAGTTCAGTTTCTACTTCACGTTCTCCCTTTTGCCATCATACTGCTAAACGAAAGCTTTCCTACGGCCTTAATGAGTATCTTACTTTTAACACAAGAGAAACACATTTTCCCTTTTCTAAGCCAATTTTAAGTTAAAATGAATTGACTTTCTCTGCATCTATGCAGTGAAAGAACTGAGACTATCTCTAGAGATCCACGTGTGTCCATGTCCCAGGGGACAGTTGGTCATCTTGGAGAATGTTTCCATGGAAATGTCCACTTGTGACAACGGGAACATTATCCCTGGATTCAAAGTGTGTGGGGTGGGGTGTAACAACGGGAACATTATCCCTGGATTCAAAGTGTGTGGGGTGGAGGGCAGGAAGGGAGTTAGAAAAGAAAGAGCTCATGGAAACAGGTGGAGATGGGTGCTAGGTTAAGTCTATGAGATCTGTACATTCTCACCGTTGGAATGAACCAGCCAAACTCTTGCTTGTTGATCTCCACAATATATGGGACAGTGTTGAAATTCTTCTCAGCCAGAATCTCTTCTGGCCCCTTAGGCAGCAGCACTCCATCAATCACAGTGGTTAGGAAAGGATAGCTCTAGGGAAGAGAGCAGCAGGAGATCATTTGCTCCACGTAGCATCTGACATGGGAACCTATAGCATTAAACTACATGAGCAAGGACAGTGGCCACTAAGGTTCAATGGCCTAAAAGGGGACCAAGTTTCTATGACCCAAGTAATCACTCTCACTTGTGGGTATCACTGGCAAGCTGACGGAAGAGTGGTAAATTCTGAAACATTGGCATATTAGGACCCAAGTGTAAATATTAAGTTTCGTGATGTTTCCTAACACCAATACACAGGGTTTGGGCTGAAACTTGCCGTAGAAGCCCATGTGTGGAATTTTCAACTTTCAGTGTAATGTTAGCACTCAAATCATTTTGGATTTAGAACATTTTAATTTTGTATTTTCAGATTAAGGATTCTTAACCTGTTATAGGTAATATACAGACATAAATCTGTAAACATATGAGTACATATATATGATTCTTCTGAAATAAATACATATCTCTTTATCTTTCTGTGTGTCTATCTATAGTGGATTCCTGTCATTCAAAGAAGTGATGTCCAATATGACCACAGTACCTGAAAGAAACAGATAATAGAGGGAAAATTTATTTTGGCTCATGGTTTCAGAAGAATTCAGTTCATCGTGGCAGGGAGAGTATGGTTCATTTCACATCATAGACCAGGAAACAGAGAGTGAGGCAGGAATCAAATTCTAGGTTATAACCTTCAAAGTAATCCTAGTGAGCCCATCTCTTAAAGGTTTCACAGCCTACCCAAATAGTGTCACTATGTGGGTAACAACTGATCAAAATATGAACCTTAGGAAACATTTAAGGGTCAAACTATAACATTCTGTCCTTGACTCTCAAAGGCTCATGGCTATCCCACACTGAAAATTCATTTAGTCCAACCTCAAGAGTCCTAAAGTTTTAATAGCTCTGACATTGTTCCAAAGTTCAAAATTCAAAGTCTTCTCTGAGATACACTGCAACATTTAGCTGTGACTAACTGAAAAGTCAAAAATAGAGATAGTCTTCTAATATATGATGACAGAAAGTTAACATTCTCATTCCAAAAGAGAGAAATAGGGGTATTTAAAGGAGGGACAGAACCAAAGCAAGACCAAAACACAGCAGGGCAAGCGTAAAATTTTGCAACTCCATGTCTGGTATCCAGTGTAAGTAGGGGCACCAGCTGAGCCCCATTAGGCTTGGGTAGCCCCACTTGTCATTTTCAGATAACATGACTTCTCTCTTAGGTTGGCTCCACTTGGTAGCTGCATATTTCTGGCATCACCAACATCCTGGAGTCTCCATTCTAACTTAGCCCTCATCCTTACACTATCACACATAGTGGTCTGAAGGCTCTCTCTGTAGGGAATCCCACTCTGCTACACATGGCCTAACCTCCAAGGCCATTCTCTGGCATCTTGGAGGAAACTTCTGTGGCCCCATAACTCTTTCATCCAGTGGCATCTTGGGTAGTATTTGGACCTCATAGACCATTGCAATTAAGATCTCTAGTGCTGCAGTGGCTGAACCTGGAACTCCTATGTGAGCAGAACACCCTGTAGGTATGCTCTCCTCCAGGGAAAGTCTTTCAAACAAGTTTTCAGTTTTACACCATAAAGCTTGCAGTGAGTAGGGTCTTTCCAACTCCTGAACGCTCCTCAAGGTACCTTTCCTATGCTAGCAGTGCAAAGTGATCAGTCTCTTTCAAATGGCAGGATTCTTTTTATAACTATGAACTATGGCCTCTCTGTTCACTACTTTAAAAGTTTCATTTATAACATTAAATACAATTTTTCTGCAAAATTACATTTCACATCTTTCTGATCTACTTTTGGCTCCTAATTCTTACTGTAAACCTGGCAATCAGGAGGGGACAGAAACTGAGAGGCAGCAGGGGGTATAGGAGGAGTTGGAGGGGGCCTGGGGGGGTAGAAGTGATTCAAATGCAATATTCATGGCTAAAATTCTCAAAACATAAAAAATTATATACATATATATTAGAAAGTTAAAAAAAAACTATTCATTACTTTTGAATTCTGACTCACTCAAATTTTCAGGATACTGGCAGATATAGACAATTTTTTTTCTCATAATATAAAACACGAATGGTCTGTAGCCCACTTCTCAACACCGTCCTTACTTCCCTCCGAAGTTTCATGAGCACAGCCTTTGTTATCAGTGTTTTCCTCAATATTCCGTTTTTCTGCACTCCCACCAGAATTACAAGTTAATTTCTGTTTACAGAAATTTGGGGCTTCTTCAAGGACCCGGGTGTAACCAACTGTGACTAGTAATCATCAGATACATAGAGATTAAAGACACATGTGCAAACATCTAAGTGTTAGTAGCATTAAAAATGTAGGAAACAGCATAATTTAAAATGAAATGGAGATCTTCTTTAAAGGGTAAAAACTCATTCAATTTTATGTCTTACAGGGTTTATACTGAGTTCAATACTGTATAACTGTATTAATTCAACTGTGAACCTAAAAATTTACAGCCACTTTTGAAAGAGATGTATCCTTGCTCTGGAAATTGTTACTGAATATGTTAAAGCTGTAATGAAATGCTTCTTCTAATCATGTGGTTATTAAATAAAAAATAAAGTAAATTAAAAAAATAAATTGGGACTTCTTTAGCTCACATCAACAAACTCTTTCAAATTCTTCCTGCAAACCAGTTTCAATGACCTAAGAACCACATGGTCAGGTTTGGTCATAGCAGTGACCTCCGTTCCCAGGTACCAATTTTCTGTTAGTCATCTTTCTATCACAGTGACTAAAATGCCTCAAAGAAATAACTCAGTGGAGCAAACTTTCATTTTGGCTCATGGTTTCAGAGGGTTTTGATCTATCAAGACAGAGAGATCATGGACAAGCAATACAGTTCACATCACAATGGATCAGGAAGCATAGAGTGAGACAGGAACCAGGGGCCCGGCAGGAAGCTTCAAAGACCTGCCCCTGTGACTTACTTCAACAGCTAGACCCCATTTCCTAGTAGTTTCACAACTTCCCCCAAAACCACCATTAACTGAGGAATAAGCATTCAAAACAGGGGCCTGTGGGGAACCTTTAAAATTTAAACCATAGCACATCAACAATGGATTGGTGAATACTGAGGTGATGGTCTAATCAGAATTCCAGACTTCAATTCTATGAGCCTCTCATCACATTTTTGTTGATTTTCTTTTATGTGCAAGTTTCTGTTATCCAACAGCTTACATGATATAGGTTTCTCAATAATTAGTTACTTGTTCTATTTATGAAACACTGCTCTGGAAGGGCTTAACAGTTATCCTGACCCCTAGGACACATCATTGCGAATTTCTTTGACTTTAGTTTCACAGCCTACTGTGCTCTTAGGATTGCTGTTTACCACATGCTCTTAGGGATCTTCCTTATGTCATGAACTCACACATTTAACTTCCTTATTGTCTTTGCATTGCTTCATCGCACGCTACAGATGTCATATTGGCACTTTGCAGAATGGTCTGACTTAGAGATAATAAAATCTCGTCATCTTTTGGATGTAATGTATTGTTGATATTAACATCAAACTTGAAGCCAATACTTGCGTAACTGAAGCCTGCAGGAAGCTCACCTGTCATATGTGTTTTTTTCCTTAAGGCACATCATAGCACCCTTGTGCTTAGGAGCATCTTCCTCCCTACTCTCGGGAGTCTCATAAAACAAGACATCAGTAACAGCACCAAAGTGCTGGCCAACCGTGAAAGAACATTTCCTAGTAGGGAAGATGAATAAGCAAACAGAGCACTGCTTTAAGACAGGAATTTGGGCATCGTGTGACTCAGACAGTCACTGCTCTGTGTGTGAAAACTCCTGTGGCTTTTTGGGTATTTATAAGCACATTTTTACCAGTTACATCAATTTACAAGTACAGAACCATGATGAATGCTGATATGGGTGCACTTACATACATGCAGGCAATACACTCACACACACACAAATAATAAGTAATGCTACACTCTGTCTATAATTAAATGTGAACACTTACTGTGGAGGACAGAGCTCTTCACCCCCAAGTGCCTTCTGAAAGCCACAAAAACTGGTTGAAAAATATGTATATGGCTATCACAGTAAGCAGAGCCAGACTCACATGTCACCAGCTGGGAAGCCGGTTCGAGGCTTAGCTATATGTCATATCTAGAACAATGATGCATTTGTGACCAACTCGTGCTTTGGACTAAGACTACCTAGAATTGACTATTTTCTCTACAGTTCATTAGTTGGTAACTAGGGATGGCAATGTCGCCTGTCTACGCCTCATTTTCGTCATTTACGGACTGGTAAGGAGTAAATGACCGAGCGCAGCAATGTTCAGCGTAGTACTTACACCTGGAAAAGGCTCAACAAATATTAGGTATTATGATTTATTGGCAGTTGTTTGATCAATTGAATCATTATGGCACTACTCATTTGTGCCGTAGTTCTAGGTCCATGGGCCATGGGCCATATTTCCCTTACTGGCAAGTAGATATACCTGGAAGATTTCTAGGCTTAGAGATCATGGTTTCCAGGACCTGTGTCCCCTCTGAAAAGATAATAATTACTGTTATATGCATTAGTTCACTAAAATGAACCAGACCCAGACAGAACAAAGGGCCAGAACTCTAATACAACCTTGTTGACAGTAGAGAGTAGGTACTGGGTGCAACTACTCCTTTAGACAGGCTGTGCAGGGGCTGGAAGGATGGCTCAGTGGTTAAGAGGACAGGTTGCTCTCACAGAGGACCCACGTTTGATTCCTAGCACCTACATGGTGTTAACAACCATCCTTAACTACAGTTCCAGGGGAGTCCGACGTCCTCTTCTGACCTCTGTTGCACAACACGGGTACACTTGCATACATGCAGACAATACACACAAAAATAATAGTTTTTTTTTTTAATAAAGGCTGTGCAGTGTAGACAGGGCTGTTAAGTGAAGCCACCAAGAGGATCAGCTAATCTGAATGATGATATACTCTGGCTACATGGAGCAGATGCCTTTGTCCTTGGAAATGGGCGTTGGGAATGAAGGATCCTGACAAATGAAGAAGGGGTGATGGTCACATGTCTAAACAGTGTACAGGACATGAATAAAAGGCTAGCGGTTTTACAATACAGGGTTAATCCCAGGAATGCCAAGAAGCTTGGGCATGGATGAGTGTCCTCAGGTGGGAGGGGAGGTGGAAGGAGGGAAAGGGGAAGAGAGAGAGAGAAAGACAGAAAGAGAGAGAGACAGAGAGAGAGACAGAGAGAGAGACTGATTTTTTTTGCACACTATCTGGTACATTATAGACAAGGGTACTGTGCTGTAAACAAGCTGATGTTAACCAAAGGGGTGACGTTACCTTGTGCTGAGGAAGGTAAGTCTGGCGATGCCATAAGGTAAGGGAGTAGGAGGGAAAGCAGAGGTAGAAAATAGTAAGAGTCCAGAAGACAGCGAGGGTCCTCATAGGGCAGCATCCTCAAAGGAAACAGGGACATCAGCAACAGTAGGAACCGCAGCGACTGCCATGGGACTCAGGGATGCGAGTGACAGCCAGGTACATTGCCAGATTGGGTTAGAAAAGGGAGCGCTGTCCTTTCCTCCTCTTTTTATCTCAAACTTCATAACTGTTCATCAGCAAGACCTGTCAGATAGTTCTGCAAATATATTCAGATTCCGAGTACTTGCCACCCTGGAGCTCAGGCCCCGGTATAATTTTCCAGGCTCTCTTTCCTGGAATATTGCAGTGTAGAGACGTCTTGATTAGTCTCTGTACCTGTCTGGCTCCTCACCTACTGTCTTATTTCTACTTTGTAATCAGTGGCCCTGTCACTTTTTCATTGCCTGTCAGAGAGTTCTGCAAATATATTCAGATTCCGAGTACTTGCCACCCTGCAGCTCAGGCCCCGGTATAATTTTCCAGGCTCTCTTTCCTGGAATATTGCAGTGTAGAGACGTCTTGATTAGTCTCTGTACCTGTCTGGCTCCTCACCTACTGTCTTATTTCTACTTTGTAATCAGTGGCCCTGTCACTTTTTCATTCAGAGCTTTCTGAACATGCCCCATCTGAAGCTGCATCATAATCCAAACCTTTTGAGTGGCCATCCCACTTCCTACAACTGCATGATCTCTGCATCCTCTAGCCTGTTTCTCCCTCACTACCTTCCCTCCAAACACACTGGCCTCCTGGAGCAGACCTTTGCTCTTCCCTCTGTCTAGAACATTCTTCTGCCGTGTTTTCTGGCAGTTGATTTCTCTCCTTATTGAGTCATTTCCTGACCTATTGTTTACTTCAAACCACTGGCCAACTCCCCCATCTCCAGTTTATCTTTTGATTTTATATCTGACCATCACCAGACACATCATCTATTTAATTTATTCTGCTATTGCACCCTCTCAGCTTCCCCACTGGGATGGAAGGATCCAGAAAGGCCTAAAATACTGTCTGTTGCACTATTGTATCTCAGCTGCTAAATCAGCTCTTGCCACATAGCAAAATTTTGCTGAATGACTGAAAGAATCTCAGTCCATTCTCACAGGACCTTTAGGGTACCGTTGGGATCCCCACAGTGGGAGCACAGCTCAGGACATTATAAAGCTAATGTCACACAAGCCACTGCTGGGAGGTAGGGGTGCAGGAGGATGAGTTGGAGGGCACAGCTGGTGACTTCTGGGTGCTGAGCTCATCAGCCCTGTGTTCTCCCAGATCTGTGCTCCTCGGTGCAGTGTGTGCTCTTCACCCAGGCATCTTGGCCCCTGGCAGTGGAAGGTTTTAGTGTAGCTTGCTCTCACAGGGCAATGAGGAGCAGGAAATGTAAATGAGAAGGGCACACCGGGGCTCAGGAGACACAGAGTTGTTGATGGAGCACTGTACTGGGAGTAACGCCAGCCTTGGCCCTGTTACTCTGGCAAGTGACTTCCTTCTCTGGGCCTCAGCGATAAGCACACAGGGCATGACTATTATTTCACAAAGGAGAATTCTTTGTTTCAAAGTTAATTGATGCCTAAAGGTGTTAAGACCCCAAACTTAACAAGCCTCTTAATGGAGAAGCAAAGATCCTTACCTCTCTGGGGTCTCCAAGAAAATCAAGAGCAAAAAATTTCCGTGAAGACAAAGGCAGGGGCTGTGGTGAGTGGCTTTCTTGTATAAGAGCTAATCTTTAGCCACACTTTGGAGTTATTGGGTCCTCTATCCTGGTTCCTCTTTGACTGGGCCCAGGATAAGACACTGTATGAGCTCTACTGGATATAAGCACATGGTAATAGAGTAAAACAAGGAGGGTAAACACCAGCAAGGGTACAGGCCCTGGGACCTAGAGTCAGGATCTCCAGCTCTGGAGAGGACACTGTTGTTGCTGTGTTTATCTTTTCAAATAAGTTTTTTTCTTCCTGTGTCACATGGCGAATCACTGAAAAACTTGTTTCCAAGCATTATAAACCAGTTTTGTTTTGTTGAATAGCTTGATCATCTTATGAGAACCTGATGAGCTAGGACCCAAGCCCCAAGGTCACACTGGACTTACCCTATGGACACACAGACAGTGCCCAGTGCTAATGGGATGCCATGGAGTCCAGAAGACTCCTCCAACATCTAGGGCTTAGGGATGATAGATGATAGATAGATTAGATAGATAGATAGATAGATAGATAGATAGATAGATAGATAGATAGATGATTGATTGATTGATAGATAGATAGATAGATAGATAGATAGATGATAGATAGATAAATGATAGATAGATATAGATATAGATAAATGGATCCAAATAAGCACAAAAATACAATGAGATTACAATTCATAGAAAAAGTAAAATGAAAATAAAATCATTCCATAATATATTTTAACATTTTACTGATAGATAGCTAGCTATAGATAGATATAGATAGAAGATAGATGATAGATAGATAGAAGATAGATAGATGATAGATAGATTAGATAGATAGATGATAGATAGATAGATAAACAAGAGAGAGAGAAAGAGAGAGAGAGGGCTTAAATTTCCTCTGAGCTCATACTCATGTATTCCAATGAAGGGAAGGGGTCCTAGTGTTCCTAGCTTCTGTCTTCTCTGGGTGTTTGTTCTGACGAGCTTCCCTGTGGTAACACCACCGCACCACCGTAACCATCCACCTTACAATGTCACCTTCTGTTTCAAGCACCTCAGGTGGGTATAATGAATCTATCTTCTCTTCTCATCTAATCCACTAAGAATATGGATGTGTTTCTCTTTGGGTAGTTCTTGACAAGAACTATACTCAATTCATATTTGCATCATTTCCCTTGACCCATACACTTATTATGGATGGATAGATGGATGGACAGACAGATGGACATCTTGAATAGATGGATGGACTTGTTTGGTATATGGAGTCTTGGTGAATCAGATGAATTCGTATATAGAGGATGATAATGAGTGTGTAATTAATGAATGAAGGTAATGAATGGATCGTTGTTTTGTCGGAATGCATGATGAGTGCACATAGTTGGCGGCTGATGGTTCATGGATATTATAATGATCAAGAACAGATAAATGAGGCATTATAGATGGATTGATAATGCATTTGTGGAAGCATATCACACTTAGGATAGATTAGTGGCTGGATAGTTGGCAGTCTCTGGATAAATGAATGGGTAGATGTAGGTATTGTCAGAATCAGACCACTACGAGGTTATAA